AGGGGAAAGGGGAAAATAGAAGTGGTAGAAAAGGCATTTCCGATGTATAAGTACTCGTCCCTCACTTAAACAAAATCAAATACTCTTCAAATATTTAGCTAATTAACTAACTTGAATAGTGTTCTCAGAAACATAAAGATAAAGAAAAGAATTTTAATTCTTTGTAAAAATGTACTCTGCCATTATGATATTAGAGCCTCACACTTATAATATTTTAAATGTTTTACTTTCTCTCATTTTTTTTTTTTTGCTTGAGCTTTTGTAGATTTGATATTATGCCAAGAGGAACATCTTCCAGCTGAAAAAATAGAATTCTTCTTAGTGCATTGGAGCATTGAAGTGTCTGCTGAAAATAATTTGAAAATAATTTACAGTTTTGGCCCAAAAACTAAATAAGATTTTTTTTTTTGAGCACTTGCCAATTCTTCTGTACCTGATTAATCACTTTTTGAAAGATGTAGGGTTTCATTAATGGTTTCCCATTGCCCTTGGAATACATAAATCAGGGAAAGAATAATTCAATTCTTAAATTTTTTGGCATGCATATCAAGAGATTAAGCTATGGGTGGGATCATTATTATTCTTGCACTCCATATCATCCTGGAATGGGAAATCACTTAAATATGCAATCACTAGTATCTCCTATTTTGACTTTCAGCCTTAAAAATGGTTCTATTCTATAATATATAATCAGTCACATGGTTTAAAAAGTAGGTTTAGCTAAATCAAAAATTAAAAGTTTGCCAGAAGTACATCTGGAAACAATGTTAGAGGCATGAGTTTTTGTATGCAGAATCTTATAAGAGAGGTATATTTTCAAATGAAAAAGCATACCTTTAATCTACTGCAGTTCCATTTAAGAATCAATTCTAAGTTTTCAATGTTCAGTAACAATTTAATATCCATTGTAACTTTGGGGGAGGAAAGTATTGCCATTGCATAATCAAGTTAATTACAGTGATGGATCTTGGATTTCATTTCTTGGTACCATCCAGTTAAGAAAGAGCTAAATGCAGAATGTCAGTTTATGGAAATCATGTACATAACAGACTGAGGTTTCCTGGTATGTTCCTACTGTAGCCAGTTGAAATGTTTCCATTCCTCCCTTGAGTGTAATGAGAGAACACTTTTTGAGCTTTGAGGCTTCAAGTGAAAACCTCTTCAGTTGTATCTTTAAAAACAACTATCAAATAACTCTTTGGTATGTTCCATTTTTTATTTTCTACTCAGAATTTTTCCTTTCCTTATATCTTTTTTATTTAGTTTGGCATTCTGCCCAATATCTCTCTCCTCAGCTGGTACCAATTTGACTCCTGGGTTCTCCAGAACATTATGTGCTTCGATAAGCCAGCTGGCCACAAGTCTGATTTTTGACAATTTACTGACCTAATCAGCTGCTATTTTTCTGTTTAAAATATGCAGACTGTCCCTCATCTGGACATTTACATATTGAGGATACTTTTATTTTTTCTGGTGGGCATTTTTTTCTGACTATTGAGAGAAATCCTTGATATTGTCACTCAATGATGATTCAAAGCATAACATTCTGTTCTGGTTGCTGAACAAAATAAATACAGTAAAGAGTTGGAGAGAGAACTGAATAAGAGCCATGAACTCTACCTATGACTTAAACATTACATTCATCCACCTTTGCCAACTTGCCTCCTATCAGAAAAGAAGTGGTCTTCTTTCTCCAAAGGCTTCTCCTGATCAATCAAGTCCATATTCTCTTGCCTATAACCTTAACATTTCTCTCTCAATTATAATTTCCTCTCTAATGTTAGTATTAATTTTTCTGAAAAATAATTATTATTAACTTGATATTGTTATGTGTCTTCCAGTTAAAAAAGAACCTTTCCTTGATGCCACATCTCCATCTAAATAATAGCTAATTTTATCTTCCTCACAGTACAGCATTTTAGAAGAGTCACCTAGAATCACTCCACTGAGTTATCTTTAAGTCACTTCTCAACTGTCAGGTTGGAATGCATTCAGCTACCAAAGAGAAAAAAAAAAAAAAAATAGAAAAGTTAATCTAACAATAAAAGTCTTTATTACCTCATCTGAAATAAGCCTATGGTTGGATGGTTCCAGAACTGGTAAATCTGGTGACCTAGAAATATCAGGACTCTGGTTCCACTTCTCTGTGTTTCTCCTTGCTTTTGTTTCACAGGCATAAGAAGCTTTCTGCGGTTCCAAGCATCAGGACCCTACAGGTCAGTGTTCAAAATGAAGGAAGGAGCAAGACTTATCCATAGGAAACTCTTTTGATCAAGGGATAAAATCTTTCCCAGAGGGCCCTAGCACAATTCCTATTACATTTAACTGATAAAAACATGATACATAGTCTACCCTAACCCAGTCATCCAAAAAAAAAAAAAAAAAAGAAAACTAAAATAGTCCTAATCCTACTTTTCTAATAACTTTAATTGCTTATCTGACATTTTTGCCTGAGTGTCCCAAAAGCCTGCCAAATTAACCCTTTTTGTTATACCTTGATTTCTCTGTATGTCCTCTATCTCAATATGTGACACCTGCATTTACTCATTTACTGACATAAAATTTGTACATCACCACCCAAATTCAATCAGACAAAAAATTGTGAAGATTCTAGGTTGTTAATAATTTTTCAGTCTGTCCACTTCTTTTCATGCCGATATCATTCACTTGGTGTAGGCAAATATTCTCTCTTGGTTGGATTACTACTCCTTGCCAAATTGGTTTCCTGCTTTTCACCTTGGCTGTTTTTTGTTGTTGTTGTTGTTGTTGTTGTTGTTAGATTCTCGCTCTGTCACCCAGGCTGGAATGCAGTGGCACAATCTCGGCACACTGCAACCTCGCCCTCCCAGGTTCATACTATTCTCCTGCCTCAGCCTCCCGAATAGCTGGGGCTACAAGGGTGTGCCACCATGCCTGGATAATTTTTGTATTTTTTTTAGTAGAGACGGGGGTTTCACCATATTGGCCAAGCTGGTCTCGAACTCCTGATGTCAGGTGATTCGCCCACCTCAGCCTCCCAAAGTGCTGGGATTACAGGCATGAGCCACTGCACCCAGACTCTTGGCCCTTTTATATACATTTTCCATATTCCCAGATGGATTATTTTAAAAAGCAAAGAGGATTTTGTGATATTCACCTTCATAAAGTAATTAAATGACTCCTGGTAGCCTTAAAATGAAGTCCAAACCTTAGCAGGTATGTGAGGCTTTTCATAATTTGGCCACTGGTGATATCTCCAGTCCCATCTTTCTCCTTATCTGACTCCAGTCACACTAAATTACCTGTAATTCTCTAATGCCCTGTGCTCTCCTTCTTTACCATAGGCCTTTACTAATTGCAGCTTCTTTGTTGAGAATTATTTCCAGATTCCCACCACAACCCCACTCACAACTCCATCAGACCTGGCTGACCCTTCCTTCAAGAACTCAGTTCAGAATACTTTCTAAGTTCTCCCTACCTCTTCCCAATATATTAATAGTTTCTGTGCCTATTATCTGTGCTCCCACTATCATAACACTTTATATTTTGTATTGTCATTATCTACTTCACATTCAAAGTGTGGCCTGGTGGGAGGTGATTGTATTATGGGGACAGTTTTTTCATGATTTAGCACTATCTCCTTGGTGCTGTTCTGACGATAGTGAGTTCGTATGAAATCTCATCGTTTAGAAGTGTGTGGCACCTCCCTGCTCGCTCTCTCTCTCTCTCTCTCGCTCCTGCTTCAGCCATGTAATACTATCCTGCTTCCCTTTGCCTTCTACCATGATTGTAAGTTTCCTGAGGCCTCCCCAGAAGCTGAGAAGACAGCCAGCATCATGCTTCCTGTATAGCCTGAAGAACTGTGAGCCAATTAAACCTCTTTTCCTTATAAATTATCCAGTCTCTGGCATTTCCTTATATCAATGTGAAAATGGACTAATACGTCATCAGTACTGTCTGTTCAAATAATGCATGCCATAAGTTTAATGTTCACTATATAAATTACCACACTTTTAATTATCCTAAACTTTCTTTTCTCAAGGTTTGAACTATCTGTATTAATATTTGTTGCCATATAAAATCTCAACTATGAACCAGGCATTGTGCTAGATCTTTTACTTGTATGGTCTAATTTAATCATTAACACCACCTTGAAAGAAAGTTACTGTCATTCCTATATCACATTCTATATAATCCTGTATAAGAAAGCAAGGGTCTCTGAGATTAAATGCCACATAAAATGTAAAGATACTTTAGATTGCAAGTATCAGAAACACCAACAGAAAATGAAGAAAACTAAGCCTCTTGTCGTTCATCTTCAGCCTGGCTTCACTGAGCAATATAATGCTATATTAGCTCTGGAATTCACATCTTCCTTTTTTAAGCTCAGTGGGTAATTTGAAAACCTGGGTACACAAAACCCTATATAATCTTCTCTTTTCTGGCCACAATTCTGCAGAAGCAATTGTCTGCTTGTGATGAAGGAAGTATATACCATGAGGTCCTTGATTATTACCTGCCACCTTTCCTCTGATTGTTAGTTAGAATAGTAGCATTGCCATCCCACAAAGCCTTAGATTTCCAGTCCCTCAACCATCATAAATAGCAGGCCCTAACCAAAATCGACTTTTTAAGAAAAAATATATTTTCTTGTCTCCCTTCTTCCAGATAGGCTAGTTGCAACAAAGCTTTTCTGTTTCTTATAGATTCTTACTAAGTGAAAAATACAGCCAACGTATTTCAGCATTCTAATTTTTTTCTATGAAGTCCTAGATCCTCTAACCTCACTCAACTCATTGTCTAAATGCCACAACCCATCAGACAATATTCTGTTTAACTGCTTTTCTACTGTGAATAAGACTTGCCAGTCTCCCAGTCCAGTATACGGGGCACTTAGCCACTGTATACACTATTTCTACTAATTCAATTTCAAAATTTTAGAAACTATTACTCCTAACATTTCCATATTCTGACATCAAAATTATTAGCAGTACTGAATATAAAAACCAACCTCAAACTGCTTAAGTGAAAAAGAAATTTATTGATTTATATAACTGATAATACTAAATATAGAGCCTTCCTCTGGCATAGATGAACATTAGGCACAAATAACATCATTAGCACTCACTTTTACACTTCCTTCCAGCCATGTCTTCTCTGAACAAGTTTCAGTGTCAAATGGCATTGTGGCAACGGGGTTGCTGCTGCCCCACCAAATGTGGAATCTCTCAGGAAGAGCCTGGAGATGGGACACCACTTCTGCTCTAGCATTTCAAGAAAAACATCATCGCCTTTACTTGCCTTGATTATGTCTCATGCCCATGCTTGAGCCAAATGTTGGAATCTGAAGCATCATGGTGGAACAGTTAACTTTGGGCATGTGCATTTACTCTGAGCCAGAGACAGGGTACATAATTCAAGTGTGTGGGAAGACAGCAAGGGAGAGACAAAAAAACAAAACAAAGTAAAGTTGAAGTTGTTTAGTCCTTTGGGGCTAATATAGCAAAATACCATAAACTGAGTATCTTATAAATAGCATAAATGTATTTTTCACAGTTCTAGAGGCTGAGAAGTTCAAGATCAAGGCACCAGCAGACCCGGAGTCTGATGAACACCCACTTTCTCATAGATGGTGCCTTGTTGCTGTATCTTCACATGGTGGAAAAGAGGAACAAATTTATTTGAGCATTTTTCTTTTTAAAGGCTCTAATCCCATTCATGAGGGCAGAGCCTCCCAAATGCTTCATCTCTTAATACCATCACATTAGGGATTAGGATTTAACACATGAATTTTGAAAACGTTCAGACCACAGCAAGGTCCTTGACTAAAAAGAAGAGGAAATGAGATGAAAGACTAATTAACAGAGGGCCACTACACTAAGATTGAATAGCTAGCATATAGCTAGAATAGAATTTGATCCTCCGATAAGTTTTTAAGTATACACCATACTGTATCCCTAAATCCAATATGAAAAAGTTTTTATAACTAAATCAATTATCTAATTCCTATATCATTTATAATTTGTAGATTTTTATTTTTCCAGAGAAGCACCTTAAAACCTGTTTTCAATGTATTATGTTATATTTTGTATGTAATTTTTATTATTGACACCTTTGGGGGATCATTAACAACAATAAGATAAAATGTATTTTCAACCTATTCTTGTGCCTGTCTTCTTCAAGAAATAGAATCTTCATACTTGTTAGCACACTTTAAAGAAGAAAATTTAAAGAGGGAGCTCATGAATCTGTCATTGTGCAAGCAATTCTAAAAGAAAAAAAATGTATCAAAACAGAAAATAATCTTGATTTTGGCATAAAGTTTCCCTAATCAAACCAAAGAGGTGCATAATAAAAGGGGGAAAAAAAACCTGTTTTTTTATAATTTGAAAAGGGAGCAGAAGCGATATGAGTCAGACTACAGAATAAGCATGGACAGGAAAATTGTTCAAATGAACACTAACACATGTCCTGGAGAACTGAGCCCTAAGGTGTACATCGACATTTCATGGTACAGCAACAAGGAGAAGTTTTTTTTTTGTTTGTTTTGTTTTGTTTTAATTATGAATAAGAATGAGGAAGAATAAACTGAAAATTTGATGAACAGTTAGGTTCAAACATTCCTGAAGGTAGGACTGGTGGCATATGAGAAGCTTAGGGGTCAGGTACTAGACATTATTACAATTTGAAAAGTATGAGCAACATAGCTACTTTCATCAATTTACTTAAGACTCCTTTTGAGAAACAAAAAGCCTTTAGTTGGCATCATTTCTTTTTCAGATGAGAAAATATCTTGAAATTAAACTAAACCTGAAATGATTTTGGACACAAGTATTGTGAATAAGCAGAATTTCAGGAAAGTTGGAAACTCTAAAAATTGCTAAAGCATTATGAATCTGTTTAAGCTCTCTATAAAGTTCCTTGATTCGTGGTGTACAAGAATTAATTAATTAAGCTATATATGCAACCAGATGGACAACTATTCTCTAAATCTCTAAGCAGAACAAATATTTATATAATTATGTACAGTTTTCAGGGCCTCATCAAGATCCTCAATATGATAAATGACATATTTTGTTGTATTGAAAATTTCTGATTTATGATATTGTTTCTGCTTAATTGAAGCATTTCATATTTACTTATAAATATTTTAGTTTTATATAAAAGGGAATTTTCTAAACTTCATTTTAGGATTAGCTTTATAATTTATGGCACCTGAGAAACTTCATATATTTCTCTTTAATGTAGCTACATAATTGAAAATTACCTTTAGTGAATGTCATATTGATAATAAACAACATTTGATAAGAGATAACGATAAGTTACTTCAAACAGGTTGGAATCTGCTCTCACTTTATATCCTTCCTCTGACTGCCCACCCAACACTGAGCACAGAGGTACACACATGGACAGTGCTAAGTTAATTTTTGTTAGATATTCTTTAGCAATTCAAAACAAATAGAAAAACAGCACATTTCATGTCTCCAGATTTTGCCTTCATGATTTGAACTCATAATTTTCTATTCAATGTTATTTGTTCAGAGAGCAAAGTTATATTGTATGGCTATATATAATGCAGCATTTGTAATCAAAATTATATATTACACTTAATTCATTCAACAAATACCTATTGAGCTTCTATTAGGTGTCAGACAATATTTGAGAACTAGAAATATATTAGTAAAGAAAGCATGGATTTTGCACTCAGAACGTGAGGAGATAAGAGTCAAGAAATCTCTTGATACAGTATATTAGATGTTAGACCTTTTGTACATTTTTCTAATTTCTGGTTAAATTTGTCTTCTTAAAACACAGGAAGAAAAACAGTATAGATTTCAATAGATCTAAAATGGCTCTATTTAGGCTTCCATTTTTGTAAATTAGTAATTTTAGGATAGAATCTTTCTCTTAATTTAAAAATATTTCCACATATTTATTATGATGGTGCCTATGGTATTGTTTTACCAAAAATATAGATTACATAACCATAATAATCATTCCTTCATTTAACCAATGAATATTGGTATTGTTGTATGCATTAAAATTATTTAATCTATACATCTTTCGTACTGCTATTGTTACTATATGACTTTTTTGAGAACTGTGTAAACCCCAAAATTTATATATTACAGTTTCTTACAAATGTAATTGCAGAATTGGCATAAAGCACATATCATCTGTTTTGCTGCAGTTAATTCACAAAATATGAAGCAAACAGGGTATAGGGTTATTGAGAAGATCACAGAATTGCAAGTCGGAAACTCTGTATTTAAAGCTTTCCTAGACTGTTCTTTTTTCACCTTTCACAGTCACTTTAAATCTCTCAACCTCATTTTCTCATCTGTATGATGGAGAATATATCTGCATTATTTGTACAAGTTATTTAGAGCATCAGTTAGAAAACATTTTTGAATGCACACACTTTATGTTATCTAAAACTCTCTGCAAATGATGACTATTATATTATTGCAGTTTTATGTTGATTTCATTAACTTATTAGGTTTAGTAACTTATTTCATTTATACAGGTCCTTTCTATGAAAAATAAAACAACCCTTTACAACATGAAGCACAAATAATAGCAATAACTTTGTAATTACTCAGAAGACTATTAAGAGGAATAAAAAATAAAAAAAGGTAATATCTTAAAAAGTTATTATGTCACATTTTATATTGGAAAAAGTGTGCTCTATAGTCAAAAAAGAGGGAGAAAAAGACACATTTTTTTCTGTACATTTTCCTCTAAGATAATATTGCTAATATTCTCAGGAAGGAGACAAGTCCAACATTGAGAAGCTGATGTCTTAGAACCCACTATCTTAATTCAGCTTTCTTTCTCCTGGGAGTGTTATGGGTTGTGGGAGAAATACTAGCTATTTGGAACCTTCTACACATAGGCTTTTCATTCATTCATTCATTCTGCAAATATTTATTGAGCATTTTCTATATGCCCACATTCTAACCAGCAAATACAAAGATTAATATAAAGTCATGGTTCCTGCCACCAAGTAGCTCACAGTCTATCAGAAAAAAAAAAACAGTTAATAAATGTATTATTTGTAAGGTGTTTCTCTGACTACTATCTATAATTCCCTTTTAAGTAGTGGATTGTTCTAAGGACTATCAGGACGAGAGGCAATTCTATTAGGACTAGAGGCAATTCTATTAGGACTAGAGGCAAGGTAAATGCCATTAAAAGAGCAGTAAGAGTTAATAATACACAAGCATACATATACACAAACGTACCACTCCTAAGCCCACCTTCAGTATGGATGTATGTTCCAAAAGCAAGAAAAGGACTGTAGAGACAAAAGCTCACGTCCATGGGACTTTTAAGTCTTCTCAATGGCTTAGATCAGTTCTATAAAATATGTGATATCTGGAAGACAAAACAAAATATACAAGTATAATTAAATAATGCTGAATAAGTATTTCTCCTTCTAATAAATTTTGTGAATGTACTGGAAAAATTTTGAACACATCTTCAGAAGTATTTTGGAAACCAAATAAATCATTGAAATGCCTAAATCATCAAATCAAAGGCTATTTTCCTTAACTTCATTTTTCTGGTTTAGGTCTCAGAATTCTGATAATTTTTATCTTGGTGAGTTATCCATGTTTTTGAGTCTCTAATAACTTGAATGAAGCTGTAAAGGACAGCTTGGGTAGGTGTTTGCCTGTGCTTGCAGAAAAGATTTTTGTTTGGGTATTTGTTTTGGAAGGGAGAGGTTGAACACTTCTCAGAGAACCAACAAATCAGCTGCTTAGTAATTTTAATCTTGAACTTTTGGAAATGATTCTAACCTTTTTATAACGGTTTCAGTAAAGATTTCTTACTAAGATTCTGACTAACAATACTCTTCAGTCAGGTATGTTGGACATTGCTGTGAATACTGGGAAACAACCCAAGAAGAATAAATTATAACTTTAAAATCTAAGCCAAAATACACATCCATTTAAAATACCGCTCTGTAATGTTTGGCTCATGTGAAGAAGGTGTATACTTTTAATTTACTGGAAGTATAGCTGAATAACACTTTTAGATTATTTTCTGATGAATTCTCATTTCCAGGTAAGGAATAACAAAAGTGTAGTGGTTTATCTCAGCACCTGGTTTTTCATGTACCTCTTCCAAACACCTCCTTCCACTTGCCTTTTACATCATAAACCTAGGTTCTTAGCCTGAGGCCTTTCATTCTTAATCCTTGAATTCCTGTATAATATGGTAGTCCATTGTCTTAGACTGGATTCCCTCCTGCACACTCTGACAGAATTCCATATGAAAAAAATCTGTATCTATCTATTATCTATCTATCTATCTATCTATCTATCTATCTATCTATCTATCTATCTATCTATCTATCTATCTATCGTCTATCTATATCTCTATCTCTCTCTCTATCTGTCTACCTACTAGGGAAATGAGAAGAAAATGAGACCATGTAGCAGTGCACTAATAGTAAGTCCTATGGAAGATATATTTGGCTCAATCCTGCAGTGGAACTCTGCAAACACCATAGATCAATCACACCTCAGAGTTGTCCTTACCAGAAGATAGAATATTAAGATCTCCTATCTGTCAGTTGTTTTTTAAGTGCTGTCTCTAGGGGACAATAATTCCCGGTCACTGATGGCTATCAGGGAGCATAGATAGTGGTGGTTCTAACATCCTAAGGATAGTCTTTAAAAATGAGACACTAACGCTAACTGGTGGGAAGAAAAACCCACTGGGAGCCTGTGTGCATGAAAATAGTCAAGGGATACTAGAGTATATGGGTGGAGTTTTTATAGAAGTAACCAAGTATTGTCAAGTATTTAAAAACACACTTTACATACCAGACAATCAGGATGAATTTCGGCATTTGTCACTAATTAACTGAGCAATATTGGACATTAGATTATATTCTCAGGTTTCTTCTGATGTTAGCCAGCATGATAGAAAGCCAACATGAGCCCATTTTAGCCAAATAAATGAAAATTTGTCTGTTCATATAGTTAAATCACTGCCTTAGCTAAGGGTAGAGTTTTGCCTTAAGGATCAAAGGAATCAAGGCTCTGATACTAACCAGTACTAACGAGCAATTCTTTTTCTCTATCATCTCCTCTTTGTGTGCCAGATTCACTTCCTTCCATATAGTAGTAGGCAATGTTGCCTCTATCAGCTCTTGATTTTAAGCCTCACAATTTCACCCACATTTGCTCACGGTTTGGTTTTAAATGGCAGTAAAGAAAGAACTTTATTTGACTAGATTTGATTTAAAAAAAAAAAAAAAAACTTAACTCTTCTATAATTACTGTGGCCAAAGGAAGAGTTATTGCATTTACACAGATGTGCAACCATCTTAGAGAGATACCTGTGGCCATTAAGGTGAGGTCATGTAATATTAGAGCAGTTTGTATTTGGATAATATGGTTAGAAAGGGTAAAGCATAATTCTCCCGAAGTAAAAAGGTCAGATCGCAAAAAAAAACAAAGTAAACTGAGCAAAGCAAATGATACATTTCTATGTCATCTGAGCTTTAGTTTCCTAATTAATAAAACGCAGTCCAAAACATTTATTACATTCATTTAACAAATTTTTTTCAAGTATTACATATGATAATATCATCAAAATTGCTTTACAAATTATGAAGTTTAGCTTGTAAATATTAAATGCCACTTACATAGGATATTAAAACTTCTGTCAGACCCGTTCATCTACAATGTTTTTATATTACCAGTAAGTACAAAAAGGTCAACTAAGAATTAGGCAAGAACCTAGAGTCTTCTATCCTATATTTTAGTAAACAAAACTTAGGTTTAGTTTCCGTGACAAGTTTGGAGCCTTAAATCTTGGTAGCATCCAGCTTTATTTTTAAGACAGGTGAATCATTCATATGGAAACAGGAAGAAGCAGATGGTTTCTCACCATTATTTTTGTAAATGCTATTAGGCAAATTATCTTAACAGTTAAAAATATCTTTAGGGCATCAATATATCAACTGCCACAGGGATTTCCTTGAAAACAGCAATATCCAGGAAGCATATAAACAATTTCTATCTTTTGCAAAACAAAACATAACATCACAAAAGGGAAAAAACAAATAAAGTAAGATGGCATTTGGACTATTAATTTCCATACAGCCTCAAATTACTCAAACGAAAAACCTTTCTTAATACCATCAGTCCCAAAATTTGGTTCAACAACATTCAAAGACTTTACTCAAGGTTTGCTCTGACCTGGCTACTAGTGATTATTCAATACAGAGAGAAACATTACGAGACAATTCTAAATCTTAAAGGCCTCATAGTGAAATGGAGAGGTCAAGTTCTCCTTTTCAATCTGCCGTTGTCCTCCTTATTCCTACTATGCCCTTTCCCCTGTGCTCCAGATCTTATCTCATTATGCTTGTGTTAAGGCATTAGTCTTGTAATTGGTCTTTTTGTTTCCAGTGTTTCCTTCAATCTAACACCAGTCACACTAATTTTTCTAAAACAATTTTTGTACTTTATCATTTCTCTTAAGAAAAAGAAATCTATGGCTCTAAAATTTTAAAATAATAATGTTTATTTACTTACAGAAATTTAGAGCTATAGGGATGCTTAAAGTGTTTGCACTAAATTCAACTCAATTTGGGATAACTTTTACTCATGAGTCAGGCTAACACTTAATAAGCTAACAAACTGATTTTATTTAAAGTCCTGGATACTACACAAAAATTATGTCAGCGTCTTTATGTTGTAGCATTGATTAGCAAAATTAAAATTTTGAACAATCATAGAAACGTGAATGAGAAACACAAATAAAATTTGATGTGTATGAGTAAAGATTAGAACAACCGAAGGCTGGAGGATCAGTTAGGAGGCTTAACCAACTATCTAGGCAAGAATTCATAACAGTTGAAATTTGAATGATGGCAGTGAAAATGGAAAGTAAAGTGCAGATGCAAAAGACATTATGAAAGATAAATTGACAGAACTTGATGATTGGGCCAAGTGAGAGGGATATGTGAAAACTATCTTGAGGTTTTGGCTCTGAGAGAATGGTGGTGCATACTATAACCAAAACGAGAAAAAATCAAATGGAGAAGTAAATTTGTTACAGTTTCTTGAGAAGGAATGATGTGCTCTGTTTTCAAAACATTAAATATTCCTGAACTTGGCAATTGTCATTCTACATCATTCACCGTTTACCTGGTAACAGCAAGTACATTTTTCTTTGGGAAACCACTGCTCCTTCATCCTTACCTGACCCCTCCCCCAGCTATAAGGATAGATCACCAGTCTTCCAAGGAAAGCACTGCATTTCCTCAGGCCCAGTGATTAATTCAGAGCAAACATGACCCAGTTGGAGGCAATGTTACAAAATGAGATTTTGCTCAAACAGTTGGGAAGCAAAGTACTTTTTCTATTGATTCACCAGCAGTTAGTATGGTGTGGTTGGTAAAAATGAAGGCAAGCCAATAAAAGGTAATGCGAAAAATGGATTGAGCCTGGTACCTGATGACATCCTTTGAGATCCGAATTCAAGTCTCCTTCCATATTTTCAGAACATGAGACAACACATTCCCTTTGGACTTAAATAATTTGGGTAGAGATGCTTGCCTGACAACTAAAAAATCCACGACACTTGCTTTGCAAAAGAATTTACAAAAACTAAATTTCTTACTTTAAAAACAAATTAGGAAAATAGAAAAAAAAAGAAAGAAAATAGCTTCCTAGAAAGCTACAATCTTATTATTTATGAAAAATACATATTTGCCTATTTTTAAAAAGGCAAACATCTGTTGAGATTTTTTTTTTAATTTCTTTCTCATCTTTCCAAGTACACGTCATATTTCTGTGGGCATGTGCAGATGCTAAACTATATCATTACATTTATTTTATATTGTAATCTTCCTCTGAATCCATAGCAAGTCTTTCTTTGACATGTGTTCTCTTACAGGCCCACAAATTACTACTGGAATGGTAATAGTATATTCCCTCTTTGGGGAGTTTTGGCATTTCCAAAGAGGGCCATGTCTTCATTTGTGTCTTGTCTTTTCCATTAGAATTCCAGGGAATGAAACCCCAGAATCAAGAGCAGGAAAATGAATGCTTGAGTAACCGGCATCATCAGTACATATGGTATACTTCATTTGATACTTTCTTTAAAAAGTGAAACCAAAGTCTTCATTTTTGACAAAAATAACTGGCTGTTATTTTCAGGAGTTGATCTTTTATTTTTTTTTTTATTTAATACTGGTATTCTTTTAACTAATTCTCTACTTTTTTGCTTAAGTAAATCATTTGCTTGAAATTTTGTGTGTGTGTGTGTGCATACACGTTGCATAAGGACAAAGATACCATCCTGAGAAGTGCATCATTAGGTGATTTTGTCTCTGTGAACATTAT